GGTAGACATGACTGAGCAAGGAATATGCATGATTGTGTATTGTCATTCTGACTATTAATAAAGCCATCACATGCAGTGCTTTTACATTTATTTGAAAAAATATATGAAAGTGCGAAGTATTGACTCAACACCCAAAACGTATGCTCAAAGGCAATACAAAAGACACCTTCCTGCTTGCATGCATTTTGTACATGTCCAGAAAACAACTGTCTATCCATGTTGAGCCAGTGAACAGGTATAGAGTGAAGCTCCAGCCGAGGGGGTAAGACTGGCCATGAACTCTGACCCTTGACCCTTACCTGGAAGTTTGCCTGATGTCAGAGGCCGTAGGTCAACAAAGAGCAACACAAAACAGTAAATGTTTCTGGCATATTCTTGCAAAGGGCAGAATATCCTAATAATACTTCTGTTTTATTTTATTTTCTTGCTATTGGACTTCTGCCAATCCTGCTCCTAAATTTGAAATACATTGATACTTTTAAGGTATAACTATTATAATAACTTATGCCTTTGTCTACTAGAAACTTGCTATATACTAATAGAAGTCGGGTATTATGATAAAAAAAAATATATTAGTAGTAGGGCTTTGAAAATTGCTTGTATTTGTTTCTTAGTTATGATAAACTTAAATTTTATTAACCTAATTTTAAAATCATTTAACTTACAGCTAATAACATTCATATGGCATCCATATTGTTTTATATCTTCCAAAAATTAAAATACTCAAAGCTGTCTAAAAAATTGATTTTAACTGCAGAATGTTAATTCACAAAGTACTGTAACAAGCTCTTATTTGGAGTTGTTATTATATCATCTTTAACAGCTAGCACCCATACCAGGTTACCATGCATTTACATTACTTAAAGGGAAATTTAAATGAAAATGTGATTTTTAACTTATAAATGTTTGGCCACAGGCCAATGTGAACAACAATAATCCAAAGCATACAATACCATCTAAGTTCTAGCACAGAGGACTTCTTGTTTATGATATAAGTAGTACATTTTCCTGAGCCATTTTCACTGCTGTACAATACAATACCAGATCCCCCCATCCATACTCACAGTGAACTCTCCTGTGACGGCATCGAAGCCTACATGTACGGTGTGCTCAAAGTCCGACGGTAAGGAAATCTCTGGTCTCTCCTTGTCCTTCTTTTTGGAACCTTCACAAACAGAGGAAAAGAATGCACAAAAGTGAAGTTAGCGAGATGTTGCTGTGATTTAACACTTTCTTGCTTAAAATTTGCATTTTAATATAGGGAAAACATGTTGGCATTATTATGAGGAATTCATAAGAATCATTTTGTCAAATTATGGATCATAACAAGTCTGTGCAATCTGTAAGGACATGTTGCAAAACAAAATACAAAAAAAAATCTAAACTAAAATGTGAGAAATGTTTGCTGCAATGAAAATGTATGTGGAGTATGAGGAGGAAAATGCTGTACGTTAAACTAATACTGTACTAAATTTCATTGTGTATTTTGTATGACTTAGTATGAAGTATCAAAGAATGATCAACATTTAGTACAGATCTCGAGTAACTTCTAAATGGATGTTGCGAATCACAATCAAAAGTTTTGTGGAACACAATTAACAGCTTTACATATCTGGTTTAAAACCTGTGCAAAAGCCAAGCAACGTTTATTTAAAATGTATTCATTTCTCATGAAAAACAATTTAACATGACTTTTGCACAGTCGGAAATAAACATACTTAAAATCACAATAAAACACAATTGCAAGGGAAGGGAGTTCAATCGAGATCTGTACTGTATGTGTGTACTGTGCATGTATTATAATGTTGCAAATGGAAAAACTCAGAGCAATGTTTTATGTTTAAGAACATTTTCTAAGCCTTAAACAAATATTTTATCTGGCACAGTAAAAGAAAAAGCGTTTTACTGATATTAAAGAGAAGCGAGACAGACAAGACGAGCAGAAACAGAGTAGAAGGAAGAGTGTTGTTACGTTTGACGCCGGCTCGGGTGATGGCAAAGTATATGATACTGGCTCGAGCTGAAATGTCAGAGAAGGAAAGGCATTGGTACAGAAAACTGGACAGACAGCAAGAAAGTTGAACAAAGGAAAAAAGAAAGCAGGAAAGCAAGAAATTATAAAACACCAAACACAGAAACATTTAAGCAGAAGGAGGTGGTCTGTGTAAGTTTTAATGCCTGACAATGTAGTGTAAGATTTGAGTGCACATCGTAGCTTGTGTGTTACGCCGAAGGGCGGTTATACCGACTATACTGATACAGATTATGAAGTTATTGTTATCCAAAAGTAATGCAATGGTTTAGCAAGGCTATTATAATTATGTTAATGTAAATGAGGTGACTTCTACACTGTGACATGTCATTTTGTTTTTCAAACTTGTGAAATTAACAACACCAAACATTCATGTATTGTTTTTTGTGTATGTCAAATTTTTCCTGTGTGTAAATTGCCAAAAACATATGTTCAGATTGCGTGCCAGCCCTTGAGGTAAAATACCATCTGAACGTGTTATTTCATGTCAAACCAGGCCAATTTGCATGCAGAAAAAATTACACAGTACACAGTTTCTGAATACAGGTTTTTGTCCATGTGTAAACTGGGTCTAAATGTAAAATGCTGTTTTGGTGAAGACAACTGTTAGTACATGTACACATCTGTACCAGCTTTTCTACCACCTACCTGACAGGAGTCTTTCTGAAAAACCCAAACATAAACAATTTAAGACAGTGGCCCCTTAATCATATAAGTTGACTGTAGATAATCGTACCAAAGCCATATTAAAAATCACTGATTTGAAACATCATTATGTTCTATGAATCAACTTTCCGACAATTTGCGATAATGAAATAATCATTCTTACAATCATATTAAGATTGAAAAACTTCTAAGAAATGTGCAAACCAAAATCCATAATTTACAATCAAAACCAACATACAAGTATCATAGGAAATTATATAACTTTTCTTTGTTTTGAGAGTCCTGTAAACATTGTTTCTGCAAGTTTAGCCTCATAGCTATGAAAATCATCTAACACACTTTCTTTTCATTAAAAAAATCCCAATTTAGTTGGAGAGTCCTGAACTCAGAACTACATTTTCTGCAGAGGAAAGTGTAGTTAAACATTAAAAAAAAAATCCTTGTAACTTAAAATTTCAATGGAACAGTCCTCAACTCAGCATACTACATTTTTTATATTAGAAAATGTGTATTAAAAAAATCCCCTCATAAACCCCCTAAAACTCCAATGGAACAATCCTCATCTCATCACCCCATGTTTCCCATAAATAATTTGTATGTTTGTAACAGTATCCATGACCTTGTCATATGACACTAATGACAGGATGACAGCCAACCTTTGTCATTGGAGGACTGGAAAATGGACTTGAACTTCCCTCCCTTCTTCTTCTCCTCCTGCGGGGCGCTGGGGAGGGGTTTAGAGCCGGGGCTGTGGCTGTCTGACTTCATGGTGCTGGTCATTCTCATGGGCGGGGCTGGAGGCTTGTCTTCAACATCCAGCTGGTCTGCCATCGGGAATCACAACACTGGGAAGGAGCTGGGGGGACAGACAAGAATATATAAACTTCAACTTCTCTGTATATATATGTACACAATTGCACATGATTGTGTAGTATATAATGTCATCCATATTTATTTACTGAAAGTCTTAACACTTTTTAAAAGTGAGACTGAGTGAGAGAGCTATAATATATTGGGGGTCAGTACTGTTACAATTAACCTCAAAGTAGTTGTCATTATAGACATAACTTAGCATGTTATAATACATGTAGGTTTAAAAAGGGCAAGACTCTATCATCATCATAATGTGAAGATTGTATACGTAGTAAAAATGTCTTTTAGTCGTATTTTCAAAATCAAACTGAAAAAAAGATTGCACATATATGAAATAGAAAGTTTATTGCAAATACTTGCCCGAGGGCTAATTGCAGTTACAAACAACATAGAAAGAAAATACAGTGGTATGTGAGACTATATCTACTTCTAACATTATACATGTACTATATTCTACAACATGACATGACACTAGTTTTACTGGGTTTGACTTCTTCTTCATATATGTACAATCCTGTACAAAATGTCAAGATATCAATGAGTATTAACGAAGTAACATGCATGAATCCAAAATGACTCAGAGACCTAGAAAGAGGGTGTAAAAGAGAAAAAGAAAGAAAGGAGACAGTACATATATTGGTGGAATGTTTTGAAAGTGTTGTTGTTGACAGGGTTATTTTCAGAATAAACTGTATTGGGACAAGGACAAGGCTGACAGAAACTTAATTTAGATTACAGATTAAAGTTCAAATAGTTCTCAAATCTATTCCAGGCATATCAAATAAAATGCAAACCATACTGATAGAGGTTTTGTAAAATGGCAGTGCTTCAATTTGCTATGAACAGTTACTGATCGATGGATACGTATTATTATTCCCTAAAACTATAAACGTCAGCTATGCAATTCGGACTGTAACAGTTACTGTACACCATACAAGTTACAGTACTGTAAATGAATAAACTTTTGCAGCAATTTTGGTTTGATGTTTTTTTGCAGTAATCGTTTAATATATAATGTATGATGCAAAATCATAATACCACGAGTATATCTTTATTGTTTTAACTGTACAACCAAATTGTTTCAATTTCAAACACTTCAAAAGCCAGTCATCCTAAGGACCTTTTTTCTTCTTAAATGTAATGCCATAGCACAAAACCACCACTGATACAAATCCAGCTAAAGAAAATATTACAGTCTGCTAAAAACACGGTCCACTAAATTTTGTGCTATTTCAATAGTCAGGCTTCTCTAAAACCCTTGTGGTGTTATTTGTTTCCCCGTGACCCCACAGTGACACCCCCAGCCCTGGAACAGCTGATCATGCAGACTTGTTTGGACAACCTGCCCCCACAGTGTACTCTGGTCAAGAGATTCCTCTAAACCACTATACTCTCAGTCCCGGGGGAGTCAGATACATGCGGGCACATTTTCTACAATTTATTAATACATGTACATGTATTAGTAACAAAGCACATAGCCATACTTTGGGTGGATGTTTGGGCCCAAAAAAATAAACGTACCCGTATGTTTATTCAGCAGATGAGAGTACTGTGAAAAGTAGAATATATATATGTTTGCTATGGTTTTATTTTTACAGTTTTTGTAGTGTCCTCTTGATATGAAATCATAACACCAGACAAATATTACTAGCGTACAACAATGCAGTGACCAGTAATCACAGTGGTCGAAATACTTTTTTTCAGTGCTCTGCAATATTGCAGAAGAGTCAAAATTTTGTTCTGCAATTTGGAAATACTTTCTGCAAATACACAAACCTCCATACTACAATCCTTTAGGTTTATAAGCATGAACAATTGATATGCAAATTAGTGAAGATAAATTTTTGGAAGTCCAAAAAGAAACAAAAGATAGACAAGTCAAGACAAGGTTGATGCAAATTAGTGAAGAAGCTCCTGTTGTTTCAGAACAGGAGCCTAAGTGTTGTCTGTCCTTGGGGCCAAGAGCACTAAATCCCAAGTGCCAATTTTTCCTGCTGCAAAATTGCAGATTGTAGATATTTTTCTTCTGCAATCTTGAAAATCTATCTGCAGATTGCAGACTGCAGACAGGTATTTCGAACACTGAATCATAATGATAAATCCAGAGATAAGAATGACTTAATACCAGGAAAGTCTCAGGAAATGATTCCATCGGTTACTTTCCATTAAAAGGGCCAGGATGACTCATATAGACTTTGAATCAGAGTCTGATCAGTATTGGTCATCAGAAGGACAGTAGTACCAGTGTGAGGGAACATTGATGTGCTGGTCAGCTGGAGTGGCAGACACTGACTCACTTCCTAACCTTCCCTCCTGCATACAGAGTTAGTTTTACTGGATATAACTTCCCTGTTTGTGTCATAGGTCGTGTAAGCATCAGTTCTAACTGACAGTACAGAAGACCATTATATTCACAGTGACAGTACATTACATATAGGAGGGTCTGTATGGGGGGATCCAGGTAAAAGTTAAGAGGACTAGCAATGCTTAGTGGTAAAAACAAGGGGGCTGTATTATATTAATGAAGTTATTCTTCTTTACATGTGGGGATGACTTCATTGGATAGTTATTTTGCATTCATGGGTTGTCTAGCATAACTACTATTAGTATAATTTATTAGTATAAAATTATGATGTAGTTAGTATTACTAATTATTTTAATTAGTAAAAATAATTAAAACTAGTCTGCTGTTACCGCATGTTCAGATGTGATTTTTTTTTGCAATCTGGCAATTGACTATGCAGTAAAAAGAATGTTTTTGATTATGCTCAATGTTGAATTAAATTGGCCAGCTATGATTAACGATGAAACAAAATAGCTGACACTATGCCTCATCCAAAAAAGGTACGAAAACCCTTTTATACATATAAATGCATGTGACTTATCTTACGCCTGTACTACAGTTACAACATGTACTAGTGTAACAGAAGCCAACAGCTTGTAAAATGCAATCAAATACATACAGTACTCTTTACCATAAAGTGCTTTACCATATGTGTAACACCACTTCCCTAGACCTGTATGGGGTTTTCCTTATTTGAAATACAGCATACATTTACATGACTGATAATGTGATATGATAACAAGGCACAGGTGCATGTACTCAGTATGTAGTTGTACACACCCCAGCCAATATCTCACAATGCCTCTACAGTAGGACATACATAGATAGATCTTTAGATGTAACAGCATATGGCATCCCAGTTTGGCTCCAGGTAATTTCTGCATACAGATTAAAGTCTGAGCCAGACTAGGTCATTATCACTGTTAGGGCCTGGCAAACCATCTGGCAAAATGGATGCAGATTCCTAACAGTATGGCACACTATTATTATAACTTAGATTGACTCACTGTAATTAATTCTGTTAAATAAATTGTTATGTTTTCACTTATATATTTTGTGTAAAACAAAAATGCTACATCGGCATAGGCTACACTTAGTCTACATCATACATGATCTCAATCAGTCAATGCTGCCTACTTGTAGTTCTACATGTACTGTGATGGTAGTCCAAATTGTGACAGATCATTCATTCAAAAGAGGAAGCATCGTCCTGTTTACAGTGTCAATACACAGAAATTCCAGCAATATTGACTGGTATAACATCCCAGTCTAGACTGTCAGCACTCTAATGCCTGCATGATGTAATACATAACATACAGCTAAAAAAATCATTAAATTGTCTAAGAGTCCTTTGTGCATGCACAGTTGAAACAAATTTTGTACATAGAGAGAGAAAAAGAAATTACGAAGTGCTGGGACTCAGTGGAAGGGCTGCAAAGCAGTGTGGATAAAGGAATGAAGTCTGCCATCTCAAAGGTTCAAATATAGATATACAAGTCATACAATGACTTGCAAATAAGTTAGATAAGGCAGAAGTCATTTAATTTTCATAATTAAAAGTTGAGGACGGAAGTGTTCTGCTTTCAGTTGGAAACTTGATGTACATGTACTACTTTGTTGACTGATGTACCAGCCGGAGGCCAGAGCACACACCACATGGAAACTGCCTTAAACTAGCGGAAATGATGGCAAATCCTGCAAACACCACACATACCAACCAGGAGCAAATATTTTAACTCCCTGCTTACAGACAAGCTATATCTCCTAATTCTGCAATAGCAATTAGCATGCCGTCATAATCCTAAATTGTAAGCAATTTTGATCTGCTCTTTATAAAAATTAATATTCTTGATAAAGAAATCTGTCTGACATTGATAGTTACTGCTATTTTCTAGCTGTTGAATGGTTTTGTTATTTCTTCTTGAAGCCTCTCAAACAAGCTACGTATCTATTAGCAGGAGTCCCTTTATTTACTATTTTTAAGAAAATTGACTTTGAAAATCGAGCTTTGCTGCCCTGAAATTAAAATTAATTTAAATTGCCTTTTAGACTGGAATATAACATACAACATTAGTTTTTTTTTTACTTTGTGCAATGATTTACATTTTGTAGATATGGTTTTAAATTTTGTTTAGATTCAGTGATTTACAATATAGTCATTTTCATTTCACAGCTTTATAATTAGAACCAGCAAGTTTGAAGAAGGAACATGATTGTGTGTAAAATCCTGAAACTTTAAAGTGAAACCAATATTGTTTATTCTACTGGAAAACAACATCACTGAATAAACAGTTCATGTTTGCTCATTAGAAAAGGATAAAGTTAAAAAACAAACAAAAACACTTCCCCTTTTTTCAAGTTGTCTAATTGAAGCTTCCTCAAAGTTTTTTTAAACAGTCAAGTTTTTCAGTCCTACAAAATTGACAGCAAGTAAGGAATGCTTGAAAGCGACCGTTATTAAGTAGCCACTATTTCCGGCCCCTCCCCACCTTTGCTACCACACTGCTGTCAAATAGACGCTGTATATTGACAAGCATCAGCTTGCTTGGATTGCACCAGCTCCCTAAATAACTCTGTCTTGTACCAGCCATTTCAGAAGCCTGGCATTCAAAGTGATGGCTGTAATTTGTAAGCCATAA